AGTGCCATGGCGTCAGCCTAGCTCACAACAACCTCAAACTCCTGGGCTCACGAAATCCTGCCTCAGCCTCCTGAGTGGCTGGGACTACAGGCGCATACCACCACACCCAGCTAATTTTTGTATTTTTATTAGAGACCAGGTCTCGCTTTTGCTCAGGCTGGTCTCCAACTCCTGAGCTCAAGCAATTCTCCTGCCTCAGCCTCCTAAAGTGCTAGGATTACAGGCGTGAGCCACCGCGCCCAGCCTCTCACGAATTTTAGTTAAGTTAGTTAGGTTGTTGTAGTATAGTAAAAGTCCCTATGGATTGAACTCTTTGCTTCCCCATCAGTGTTTTTCCTTTGAAGCCTGGGTATACTTATTTTATTGGATTGCAGTTGTTTTCTGGGTCAGTCTCCCCCACTAGACCAAAAGTTTCTTAAAGGTGATAATTGTCTTGTTCATCTTACATCCCCTGTTCCTGGAATACATATTATAGTTTTTCCTGAATAAATGTTTATTGAATTGAATTATAAATGATAAGATTCCTGTTTATTTCCTTTTTCTTTCCAGATATTTTCTGTTGTGCTTCTGACTTCGTGTTTGTGAATTTCCTTAAAAGAACATGCCATTTTGACACACAATAAATTTTTCTTTCTTCTTCGATCAAATCTGGATTTAAAAACCAGATACAGCTTTTCATTATATTCCGATCTCAGGTCCTATGCTGTGGGTGTCAGTGTCACTATCCCGTATGCCAGGTGCAGGGTTTGTGCATCTGTGATTCCCTGACGTGTGGACCACCCCAGCAGCATGCGCAGATCCCCTGCTGCAATAAACGAGCCTGTATATGGACACATATAAACTGCTCGACATACCTAGTACGTTGGTGTAGCACAGAGAATATACAGTTTAGAGTCACACTGACTGGGCTTTAATCCCTATTCACATACCAGCTCTGTGACCGTGGGCAAGTTTCTTGACTTCTCTGAGCCTGTTTCTTCTATTTAAAAGAAAAAAAGGCATTATGAGATGACGATGAGGAAACACTAGCGGCTTGATAAGTGTTAGTACCTTCTGCTGAGGTAGCACATGTGTGGATTGACAGGGAAGCAGGCTGAGTTGTCTGGGCAGCAGGGCGAGTGAACAGAGTTAATGGGTCTGCCTGTCTCTTTAAAGGGTCAGGGCCAGCCCTTTAGGCAAGCTTGCTGGGAAAGATGAGCTGCTTTGAAATTCTATCTTGAGCAGAGCCCTTGTTGTTTCTCTGTTTCTGTGCTTTTGACTTCCCTGCTCTCAGCTGGCAGGGACAGCTACTCTGGAAGCTCAGGGGCAGCATGACTAAGGTGGAAGGATGAGCAGCTGCTGCTTGTTAAAGGAGGTAGGCTGGTTGGAAGGCAGGCAAGTGACATAAAAGCAGCATATGGAAATCCTCAAACTCAAATGACATCACAGGTCCAAAGCATTGCCATGAGGGAGGCTCAGAGGCATCTCTTCAGCACACATTCTAGCTCTTTGCTTTACCACTGTTTTTTTTTTTCCTCTTGACTTTAGAAAGGAGAAAATAAGATATACATTTGTTGCTCAGTTGATTTTATTTAAATATAAAAACTGGCTTCCTTCAACATGCCATAGTTTTTCACATTTCTGTGCCAATACTTCTGCTGGTCTCGCCCAAAGAAATGCTGTTCTCTCTCAGCCTACATGGTGAACTCAACCCCTAAACCTCAACTTCGTATGCCAGCTCTTACGTCTTCCCCCCCGATGCCACCCTTCTTCTAGGCTGCCACCATTTTTAAACTCAATGTGGTTATTATACTTCACACACTGAATTTCCATTGTTTTTTGAGGTCTCTTTCCCCCAAAAGAGTGAAAGCTTCACTTGGGAATCTGATTCCCAAGTGTTTGGCTCATAGTAGGCACTCAATAAGTATTTGTTGAGTTGGAAACTTCTACTCAGCATATTTGACAATTTCTCATTTTTCATGAATTTTAGTTAGGTTATAGCAGTACAGTAAAAGTCTCTATGAATTGAGCACTTGAATAGTTCTAGGAGCTTACTAGGTGCCCCACTTGTACCCCAGGGGAGCAACAGGAGTAATAGTAGTAAGTGCTAACCCAGCAGCAAGGAAGAGGAATCAGGGCATCATTTAGAAATGAGAGTTACGTTTCTTAGCTTAATGTTTGCATACTCCAGATTTATTTTTTGGCAAGCCAGAGTAGATCCCCAGGTTCAACCAAAAGTTCCTTGGAAGTTATCAGGTTTCACAGGAGGAATGTAGAAATCATGGATCTAGTCCTGTATTTCTATAACACTTACTGTACAGATCAGTTGCAACAGAGTATTAAGTTTGATAGACTTGGGTTCAAATCCTGACTCTGCCACTGTCTACCTGTAGAAACTTGTTACCTCTCCAAGCCTCAGTTTCTTCCAGATGTAAAAGGAGGATAACATTTATTTCGAAGGTTGTTGTGATTATTAAGTATGAAATGTCCAATTTCCTGAAGTACGAGGTTTGACAGTTGATATCTCTGACATTTCACGTTGGCACTTCTTGTTTAATTTTATTGTGAAGGTACATCCTCAGCCTTTCAAACACTTGTTTTGGCTTGTGATTATCTTTCAAATTTTTTTAGAGCAATTTTTGTGAAACCATGTATAAGTCAAAACTTCATGTTATTTTCGAATATTCCGTCGTGGAACTAATGCAGTGCAGACAGTTCGAAATTATTGACAAAGTGTTTGGGAAGGATGTGGCTAATGAATGCGCAGTACATCCATGGTTTGAGAAGTTCCATTCTGGTGATTTTAATTTGAAAATGAGCCATGTGGGCAACCTGAGACCAAGGTGGATAATGAGCTGAAAGCTGTAGTGAAAGCAAATTTATCTCAATGTACGTGTGAATTAGCAGCAAGGTTTGATGTTACTATCCCAACAATATTGGACTATTTGAAACAAATCAGTAAGGTAAAGAAGCTGGATAGATGGGTTCCACATGAATGAAATGAGTGTCGGAAGGGAAGTTGTCTCAAAGCTTGCCTTTATTTGCAGTCACAACATAAAGGCGAACCATTCTATGCCGTATCGTTACATGTGAGGACAAGTGGATTCTTTTTGACAATCGCAAGCATTCAGCACAATGGTTGCATGAAGATGAAGTGCCGAAACGTGGTCCAAAACCGAATATTTATCAAAAAAATCCAACGGTAGGCCAGGCGCGGTGGCTCACGCCTGTAATCCTAGC